TTTTTTTTTTTTTTTTTTTTTTTTTTTTTTTTTTTTTTTTTTTTTTTTTTTTTTTTCTTCTTCTTCTTTTACTTCTCCTTGTGCCCTTACGATATATATATACACACACGGTTGTAAGTAGGTGCACGTGTTATATATGTATACGTGCAGTGCGCGAGGCTTGAATTTTTCAGGTTGTTGCATCAGAGCTTATACGTGTACTTACCTGTAAATTTATATGTACTTGCTGTTCTGTCGCAGCCCAGTTGTTTTATGGGCCGAACAATCAGCATCTTGGTTTATCTTGGCGATTCAAGGACAGTGGTCCTGCAGGACGAGTAAAAGTTTGGTTTTACCCTCCACCTTCCATTTTTTTTTTTTTTCTTTTCTTCTTTTCTCTTGCTCGTTTGGTTAGTTCTCTCGCAAGTGTGTCCGGGGAACCGCACTGCGGTGGAAAACTAGATTTATACCCGTGTGCTCCGACCCTTTCTGTTTGACCGATATTTTACCCATGTACGGGAGGTTTCGCTGCTATATCTTCGTTTTTGTTGAAAATTCGTTGAAATTAATTTTCAGCTCAAAAATGACTTTTTTTTTTTTTTGTTTCCAATGACGATTATCGATCCCTCAACATCTTGTGTATTTTCTCAACTATGGAAAAATAAATAATTTTTTTTTTTTTTTTGTAAATTAAAGTACTTAAAATGCGCGCAAATACTTGAATATCAAAGAGACCACGGATGAAAAAAAGAAGGACACAAAACTTTTCGTTTGGTTTACTAGGTATAGTAAAAGTACGTGAAAGTTCATGAGAGTTAATTTAACTTGGTTGTTTGGAAGAAAAAAAAAAGTTTGCTCCAGCCCTACTGACTATGCATTTAAATTTCTCCATCGATCGTGCGATCGTTTTCTCTATGCACGCTGACCTTATCTGTACATGTACATCGCTTCAATGACATAGCGAGTTTATTTATTCAACGGCTTACTTATAAATGAATTAAGAAAATAATACTTGCAAATTTTTAACTTCCCTATACCACTGGTTGGAGAGCTGTACAATTGTCCTTAAAATTAGTCACCATATGGGTTCGAATTTAATATTCATCAGATGACTAGTTTCACAAATATTAGGTCCACTCTTTTCTTTTGAAATTTTGTATTTAGCAAGTTACGTCGAAAATGTTAAATAATCACAAAAAAAAAAAAAAAAAAACCAATATTTTTTTCTCTTATTGTATCACAAAATTTGTCACTTCCATCGACTCTAAAAAATGAAAAAATGAAATGTTGGAGCAAACAAAGTGAAAGGAGCAAGAAAACCAATTTGCACTTATTGCGCGCAAGTGTACACCTATACTTTATAGGTGCTCGGCTGAAATTGAATTCATAGACGCAGCGTCTGCCCAAACTCGCCTTTAACTACTTGACTTTCCAGACGCCCCCCCTCCGTACGCACAAAAACTCCAGAGCCAACCCCCCCCCCGCCAGTCCACCGGCCTCGATCCGTCCATCCATCCGTCATCCAGCCAAAGGGGGCCACAATCCCCACGATCATTTGTTATCCAGCGCAACCGCGAGCCTAAGACGAATCGATAATTAATCGATACCATCTACCTGCCTCGGACGAATGAATACATACTCTTTTTTTTTTTTTTTTTTTTCAATCGGGGCCTGCCTACACAACGCATTCATCATATTGCTTCGCAGGTATATGCCTTCATTTATTTTTTCACGGTACGCTCGCTCCTTTCTCTCGGGCCATCCGAGAACTTTGCAAAGGGCCATCGCCCGTTCTTCATATCCCGCATGTAACGGGAAGAAAAATCCCATATTTCGTTCAAACTCGCCCAACCGGAAGTGATTTCTCGTTTTCTTTTTTCATCCTCTCTACGTGCACGCTGCGGTGATCTCTTTTTTTTTTCTTTTTCACCGGAAAAAAAAAAATTGTGCTTCGGGAGGGTGGGGAGCGTCTCTTTTTATAGCTTTCAAACACCTCCCTGCACATACGAGCTTTTGGTTCGGAGCAATTTTGGCCAGCAGACAATGGCCCCCGACACGAGAGTCTTCTTTTTTCTTATACCTCGGCGTGTGGGTTTTTTCTTTAGCTTCGCGAATCAATAAACTTTTGATTCCTTCATCGGAAGCAGTTTTACTAGCCAACGATTCGAAAATCAGGACGTGCTGCGATCGAGCGAGATTTTTGCGATGTCATGGTGCATATAATGGGTATTTGCGTGTCATTGACATACTCGTCATTACACCTTCGTCATCGAATGTCACGTCGGAGGTTTCGAACTCACGCGATCATAAATATATTATGCAGAAACAACATTATTATGTATACCGATCGAACAGCTATACGCTAGATCGATATGCATCTCGCGTTATTATATCAATCGTTCATCGCGTGTACATGTACGCACCTATACATGTGTAAAAGTGAGCGATCGAATTTTCCCGAATTTTTCGATACCCCGGAACTCTATACTGGAAATACTCGACCACAACAGGTTCCCATGACATTCCCCTTTGTGAGCGGCGTGTACATGGGATCAGCGGGGCTTAACAGGTCATGCTCGCTGGCGTATTTATACTTTGCGCACCATGTCGAAGCAGCCTTACGGGTTTCAATTTCAAGAGCTCCCTTTTTTTTTTTTTTTTTTTTTTTTTAAATGTGTACGCGCAACCCTGTAAATAACAATCGTACGATGAGCTTCGCATCGTTATTCAAAACCTGCAAAACAATTAATTGGACGCGCCAAAGCAACGAGACTATGAAATTTAAGTGACTCGCGGTGCTATCGATTTTTCAAACGAGCCCAATAATAATACACAAAACGCTGTACCTCTACGCTACGGGACTCTTGTTAATTAATTACCCAAATTAACCGCGTATCTTTTTTTTTTTCTCTCCCATACCTCTTACACCGTAAGCTCAAAGTATGCGGTCGTCGAATTTTCCCGCAAGCTCGCCCCGATGTAATAAAAATTTTCGAATCGACGTAAGCGGATATCGGGGTGGATTTTGCGCGCGGAGGGAATATTAAATTTTTCGAGCGGGATCTAGCTGATAATACCAAGGATGAGATTGGAAATTTGAATTTTCCGCGCGATGTGCTTGTTTGCGCGATTACATATGTGTATCGGGCGATTAAATCGCTGGACTTTTTTCGGCTAAAAAAAGAAAACGCAATAGAGAGTTTTACCGACCCTGCGAATAATACCAGCACCGATAAATTGGGTTTTTTTTTCTTTTTCATTTCATTATTGACGCGAACAAATTCTTCTCTCGCGATGCGTTTATATACGTTTCGAGTTGGCAGAGGAGCAATCGATTCGAAGCGCTTCCTCGGTATTTCTGGTTCGGGCTCGTATCCCCGGAAAACGGTATTATCGGTGACGAGCTTAAGTTAATCGCTTCGCACGCCCTCTGACAACTATTTCCATACAAAAGTTTTGTTTCGTGAAGGAAAAAAAAAAAAAAGAATCTTCTGAAAAATGGATGCAAAAGACAGTATAATCTTGGACTCGAAAAAAAAAAAAGAAGGAAAAAATTGCGAAAACAACGCGTTTTCATAAAAATGCACCATTTAACGCACTCTGCGTCAAAGCGCTCGTCACGTACTTCGGAATAGCGATAAAAACAACTGCATGGCAAATCGAGAACGAGCGCAATAAAAGTCGAGCGGCCGTATAGGGTAGGAAAAAAAAAAAAAACCCCCTACTTCTCTCCGTGTCGCGCAAAAAAATTCAAGGTCCGCGTAGAAAATTGTCCGAGAGAAAGAAAAAAGAGTCATGTATGCGGTTAATGCGACGAGGGGTGGGAGGAAGGGATCCATGTCACGCGTTTACACATGTTTTCGCTACACGT